TCCAGGAACGTGATAGCGGATGGGCGTTGTCGCGTATACTCAATTTAATGGTAAACGTGAACAAATACAATCCGTTGCACGCGGGGTGTTTTGTGGAAATACCGCAAGAAATTAAAAAGAAGAAGGCGGTGATAAACGTGCGATCAATGGACAATGCATGTTTCGCATGGTCAGTGACGGCTGCTCTACATCCAGCCCAAAGAAATGCAGATCTGGAATCGTCGTATCCACATTACACGTCGGTGCTAGATCTTACGGACATTGAGTTTCCAATGACGTTGGATCAAATTAAAAAATTTGAAAATCATAACAACATCTCCATCAACGTGTACAGCATCGAGAAAAAAAACAAGAAACTTGCTATTTTGCCAATACGGGTTACTGACCGAAAGATGGATAGACACGTAAATCTGCTGTACGTGTATAACGACAACGTGGGACATTTTGCGTGGATCAAGAACCTATCCCGCCTCGTGAGCTCGCAAATCAACCGACACCATGGTCAGAAATACTTTTGCGATCGGTAAGTACCTATAGTTCTTTTAATAATATATAGAATATTTTGTGTATAAAAAATTTATAATATTTGCGTTTATTTTTTTGCAGATGTTTGCACTATTTCAGCTCCAACGAGAAATTGGCTGCCCACACCGTCGACTGTCAGGAGATGAATGACTGCGCGATCAAGTTACCGAGCGATAACGACAAGTGGTTGGCCTTTAAAAATCACAACAGGAAGGAACGAGTTCCGTTTGTCGTATACGCCGACCTGGAGTGTACCCTGGAGAAGATGGAAGCGGATCCGGAAACGTCCAGGTACACATATCAACATCATTGCGTGTTTAGCATAGGGTACTACGTGCGTTGCTCGTACGACGAGTCGTTATCTATGTATCGGTTTCGTCGCGATAAGGATTGCGTCGCGTGGTTCGCCGAGGAGCTAAGACGTTTAGCTCACGACGTAAAAACTATATTGTCCACTAATATACCCATGGCAGATTTCACGCGAGACGAGTGGGAAAAGTTTAACAGCGCAACGCACTGTCACGTGTGTAAAGAACCGTTCGAGCCAGACGACGTGCGAGTACGCGACCATTGTCACCTGACCGGTCGATACAGAGGTCCCGCGCATTCGAATTGTAACTTAAATTATAAAGATTCGCATTGCATTCCCATAGTGTTTCATAATTTATCGGGATACGATGCACATTTTATTATAACTGAAATAGCAACAGCATACGAAGGACATGTAGATTTACTCCCGATCACAAAAGAAAAATATATTTCGTTTACAAAAAACGTTCAAAGCACCGAAGATAAAGATAAGAAAACGTGCGTCAAATTGCGATTTATCGATTCGTACAAGTTTCTCACCGCTAGTCTTGACAAATTGGCATCTTATCTCAGCAAGGATAAACTGCGAATATTGCAACGCGAATTTTGTGAATTATCCGCAGAAAATTTTAATTTGCTGACACGAAAAGGCGTATTTCCATATGAATACATTGACTGCGTCGAAAAATTGGAGGACTTGTGTTTACCACCGCGCGACTCGTTTTACAGTTCATTGACAGGTGA